CTGCTCCATAACCCGTCGTAATGAGAAAAATTAAACGAAGACCGGTCGCTTCTCTGGATTGCAAAGTACGGTTTGCGCGCGTGTGCAACGTTTCTTCTATGTTCAGCTGAGGAACTATAAAACCGGCTGGCGTTGCTTCAACAGGTTTTTTGTTCATCGAATTCAAAACTCAACGTGCTAGTGTTGTGTCGACAAATCTACTAGTTTGTAGTTGTTATAAGTAGAAATAAAAATTGTGTATAAAGTAAATAAATTTTGTTTGTTGTTTGAAAGCCTTCAGTATATACAGTCAGTAAAATAAAAAAAATTAGTGTTTCACCTTATCTTTATCGTTATCAATGCCTATCCGTTGTTCTTTGTTGAATTTTGAGTTTTAATTTTATTCTATTCTATTGACCTTAACACGTTAAGCCCCATGCGTACCATATTGGTACACAACAGTGTTTTCTAAGGGACCGTGCGTACCTAATACGGCCACAGTATATGATCGCGATCAAACTACTGTGGCTATCCTAGGACCACAGCTAACATGATTTCTTATGGATTAATAGAATCGTTCGGTCTGTAGTGAATACAAAATCTGCTTGGTCCGTGAAAAGCGTGACGTAAAATAGTTTGGTTAGGTTATTTAGTTGACATTAGCTATTTGTCAGATAAACATCGGTCTCAGTACGTTGTTGTGTATTTCGTAGTTAATAATTTTTTTAAAACGTTATAAAATGTCGCGAGTTAATAGAAAAAAGCCGTTGTTAAATGATGAACTTCGCCGTATATTGGAGGAAGAAGATTTTAGTGATATAAGTGAGCAATTTGATGACTCAGACGGAGATCCAATATATGAGGAGAGTGACTCAGAGGGTAGTAGTAGTAGTAATAGCGATGATGTAGAGATCCCGAAAAAGATACGGAAATTAATTCAAGAACCAATGCCGGGTCCTAGCTCGAATTCTGTTGAAATAATTGAAGAAGGTAAGTTTTTAGGAATTTTTAACGATAATTTCGATTGACTATTCGTTACTACGTATTTCAGAAGAACACGATTCATCAGGTGAAGACTTAAAAGAAAATAATGCAGATTTTATTTTAACAAATAACCGAATACAGTGGAGGGAGGCGAGTATTTCCGAAAAACTAAACACATTTCCTTTTACGGAAAGTCCAGAATTTAATCCTGAAGAGATAGCAAAACTTCAAGGAAATGAACCAATTGATTTTTACTTATTGTTTATTGACGAGATGATTCAGGATATGTTGGTTGAGGAAACCAACAAATATGCAGAACAAAAAATAGTAGAAGGGATTATTGATGAGTCAATTACCAAACATTCGCTTCTAAATATCTGGAAGCCAACAAATAAACGTGAAATACTTCGTTTTCTGGCTCTTATTATTTGGATGGGATTAGATAAGAAACCGGAGCTGAGAGACTACTGGAGTACAAAAAATATTCTGTATGCAAACGAAATTTCAAAAATATGTGGTATTAGCAGAAATCGGTTTGAATTACTTCTACATTTTTTCCACATATCCGATAATCAATTGGCTCCGGCTAATGATAGGCTGTACAAAATTGCTCCTCTGGTAGATTTGCTAAATACTAAATTTCAAAAAATGTGTGTACCTCAACTGTCGTTGTGTATAGACGAGACGATGGTACCATTTCGGGGGCGATTAAGTTTTTTACAGTACATTCCAGGAAAACGACATAAGTACGGCATCAAAATTTTTAAGCTTTGCGTCACAGGAGGCTTCACGTACGCAACTAAAATTTATGGTGGAAAAGAACAACCCACTGAAAAGTCTTTGGCATCCAGAGTGGTGATGGAGCTTATGCAGCCACTTCTAAATACTGGTAGAACCCTTTATACCGATAATTTTTATACCAGTGTTCACTTAGCCCATGAACTGAATAAGTATAAAACCCACTTGGTTGGAACACTTCGTTCTAATAGGAAACATAATCCTAAGGCCGTGGTCGATGCAAAGTTGAAGAGGGGCGAAATGAAATTTTTACAGAGTAATACCAAAGCAATTGTCGGAAAATGGAAAGACAAGAGGGATGTTCTTTTTTTAACAACCAAAGAAGTGCCACAAATGATTGAAATTCAAACAAAACGAGGTCTAGTCGCGAAACCTTCAACAATTGTTGAATACAATTCAGCAAAATCGTTCATTGATGTTTCAGACCAGAAGGCAGCGTACAGTTCTCCAGTTCGCAGAAGTATAAAATGGTACCGTAAGGTAGCTATAGAACTGTTAACAAACACAGCGATGGTAAACGCCCTAGTAGTTTATAGTCATGTAACTGGCAATAAAATGAGTGTCACCAATTTTCGTGAAAAAGTTGTCACATCTTTACTACAGGCCCAAAATAATGTGCCAAATAATTTGCAAGAGCCACCTAGACACACTCTTGAAGAAAAAGAAAAAAGAGGAAGGTGTTCAGTGTGTTACAAAACATATTCGGAAAGAGAAGGAAGAGCGTCTGCCATGAAAAACACTAAACGCGTTAATTTGTTCTGTGCAGCGTGCATAAACATTAATTTTATGTGCATAAAATGTTTTTGTTCTAGTCATGTATCATCCCTAAAAAAATAATTTTGTTGTAAGCTTTTTCAAATAAAGAATTATAAGATTTCGATTGTGACATAATATGGTACACATGGTCCAGGATATCGACAATGAGCAAAAAAAAAATTGTATGGACCGCGTGTACCAAATTTGTACACGGCTTTATTTTACAAAAAATATTTTTTTTTTGTAAATTACTAAAATAACTCTTAACTATAATACGTATCTTTATTCAAATTTGGCAAAAAAGTTGTCCGGTCTGGGGTGAAGTTTCCTTTTAAAGCCCCGGGGCTTAACGTGTTAAACATATAAAAGAGGAAAAAACATAATTTAATTATCTCTGAACATCTTTTGCACTTTTATCCACTGTAATAATTTTAGAACGTCCTTTTTTTTAATTAATGTTGAATTTTATATAGTCGTATATTTTGAATTAACCCCAGCTTTGAAAATCGATTTAAATATTCAACTTTGTTAATTAAAAAGTTTTTGTTTAAGATTTTGTTTTTAAAACTTAATTTAGATATAATGTAGACTATCTGTTGTCTCATGAGTTAGAACACGAAACTGCTTTTTGCGGTATGAAAGTTCCTGTTAATGCTGTTGAAAGAGTAAACTATTGCGTGGGTTACTAAGTCAAAAACTGAACGCAGTTCAGTGACGAATTGTGATACATTAACTTTTGCCGTTGAACATACTGGTATAGAAGATTCGCTTAGGGACACAACTATGAAAGTTTTTCTGGAACTACTACAGATATCGAATACGAAAGGTTAATGTGCAGGTTGACTCACTCACAGCTAATAGAGTTTCGCGTTTAAATTTACTTTCTTTAGAGGGGGATTTAGACTTAAAAGTAAATAGACCGCTTGAACACTCAACCCCGACGATCTAAATCATTCAGGGTAACACTTTTCTTTTCCTAGATCAATACCGATTTATAAATGGGAAATTACCTTTTCGGGATCTGAACATGAGTCAGTAATTGGTTTTCTGGAATGTATCGAATGTCTAAGAATTTCTCGTGGAGCCACTGACATGGAAATTTTATCTAGTGCAGTCGAATTATTTACTGATAATGCTTTTGTTTGGTATTTGAATCATAAGAATAACTTTCAAAGTTGGGAAGATCTTGTAGCCAAATTAAAGTCTGATTTTCTTCCACATAACTCTCAAGACAACTTACTAGAGGAAATTAAATCTCGAAAACAAAGCCAATGCGAAAGAGTTACTGTCTTTATAAACTCAATGCAAGGGTTATTTAACCGTTTAGAATGCCCACCTAACGAGTCCGCTATGGTGAGGATAATTCGTAGAAACTTAAACTTCCGAAACATGTATAACCCCTAGTTTTACTAGATATCGATACCGTTGATGCCTTAACTAAGAAATGCAGAAGACTCGAAGAATCTTTTACCAGGAGGCAGAATTCAAACTCTTTTTCCTCTTTTCCTTCTACAAAAAGTAGCTATTATCTAGAATCTGACTTAAGCACTCCTACTACCTCTGGTTTTTCTGCTAAAAATAAAAACGTATCCATACTTTCGAATTTCTCAAATCACTTGTTGGAATTGTCACAAACAAGGACACACCTATAACAACTGTAGTATGCCCAGGAATTTTTTCTGTTTTGGATGTGGAAAGCCTGGTATTTCCAAACTAAGTTGTTTTAGATGTCAAAAAAACGTGACAAGCGGTAGTGCAGCTTTTCTGTCCGCCACACTTGCTGTAGAATAATCAGGGACCCCACACAAGTTCAAAACAAAAAAAAAGCCAAAGGCAACTCGATCCAAATGGATCCTCAGTAAACAGAGATACTTATTTAAAAATAACCATTTAGTCTCTAATATCTCATCTTTACAATTGCGTCGGTTATCTTCATCTAACTTTAATAATAAAGACTGTAATGCATGGGTGGATTTTGTCAAAGGTTTTTACCAGAAAAACGAATACTTTTGACTTCTAATCTAGTATCGAAAAATAATAATCAATATATACCGCTTAACGTTAAAAGTTCTGTAGATTCCTTACTACATAAAAAGAGTCATGATAATAGGCCATATCTCGATATTTCGACTTTTGATAGGACATTTTCTGCTCTCCTAGACACAGGGTCAAATATATCTCTTGTTAGTTTATTTGTTCTTGACTTTGTGAAGGATTTGTCTGTTCTCTTTGAAACTGCTGATGATCTCAGAATAACTACTGCGGTTGATCACGTACAAAATGTTTTAGATTACCTTGAGACTTACATCACTGTAGACAAAATATCTCGCCTTATGAAAATATATATTATACCTTCTGTTAAGCATCTTATTATACTTTTTTGAAGATTTTTAATATAAGAAGATTTTACGAAAAATAAAAATTTCGGCATTAGCATTCTTTGTTACAATTGTTTCTAAAAAAAGTATACACTGGAAGAAGCTATGAAACGGTTATTTGCTGGTGAATTCAGTACAAGTAGTGACGATGACACCGAAAGCAGTAGTTCAGAAGAAATAAATGACAATATAGGTGCTACAGCTAGTCAACTAGATCGACATGATGAATGGGTATATATTTGGCAGATCCATGATGAAGTCGTAGAAACTGCAAGGATGTCTGTTGAAAGTGGCAATAGTGCGACAAATTTTCCCACAAAATTAAAATTATATTCAGATCAACCACTTGCAAATAGGAAAATCGACCCAATTCAATATTGGAGAGAAAACGAGAGTGCATTCCCAGCAACAAGTAAAGTTGCTTTTAAATATTTAACAATCTTGGGAGCATCCGTGCCATCTGAAAGACTGATGTCTTATTAAATCTGATATGTATCTGCCACAGAAGTAGATTAACACCAAGCCACACAAACCAGTTGGTTTTTTTGGGTTCTCTTGATAAAGAGTACTGGAATATGTAGATTTGTTTCACACATAAATAAATCTTGTACTAAGAATATATTTTATTGTTTTCTTTTTAAATTATAGTATTTTACTCTTAGCTAAAAACCAGAATGCAACGCCGAGGTGGCTAATTAAAGAAGTATAAATCATAATGACAGTTTTTGCATACTGCCATGTAATTTTATACAAAGATTAAATCATAAAAATACAATATTTATAGTTCTAGGCTACGAATTTGGCGCTGCATTCTTATTTTCAGATGCCAATTACAGTTACAAGTTAAAAAGTTAAAATAGGGTAACAGCAATTTATTAATTTGGTTTTTAGTAAGGCTACTCGTAATAGTAATAAAATTATAACCGATTATTGCGATAACCGGTTACTTACTAACTAACTTAATCGCATAAGGTTATATTTCTTATAAAAATAAACGATATTCTCGATAAACTAGGTAGGGCACAATATTTAAGTACCCTTGATCTGGCGATTGGATTTCATCAGATAGAGATGAGCCAGTCAGTGTTCTATCGAAAAAACAGCTTTTAGTGTCGACAATTGACACTATAAATTTTTACGAATGCCTTTCGGGCTTAAAAATTCGCCATCCACATTTCAAAGGGCTATGGACTAGGTACTAAAGGACATCCAAAATAAAGTATGTTTAGTCTATATGGACGACATAATTATTTTCAGCACAAGCCTACAAAAACACATTCAATATCTCAAATTAGTATTTTTTAAATTAAGACAAACACGGTTAAAAATTCAACTTGATAAATGCGAATTCTTGCGCAAAGAAGAGTTCAAAGACCCAAAAAGAAATTAAATCGTTTTTCGGTCTCCTAGGGTACTATAGAAAATGTATAAAGAATTTTGCTAAAGTCACAAAACCTTTGACCATCTGTTTAAAAAAGTTTGCAAAGTAGAACATACTAAAGTGTTTGTATATTGCTTCAATATCTGTAAGAACCTGTTGATGATGTCAGAACCACGGAGTAGATCCTATCGAAAAGCCACAGATATATTAAAAGAACGGCTTCGAGTAAAAAGAGCAGAACGAGGTAATTTTCAAACGCAGCATTTATTGAGCACATTTTTCAAAGAGTGATTCATGATACCTGAAGTCATCGCCTGCCAGCCGATACGCTATCGCTATCCACATCATTACATCATTTGTGATTTAATGAGTATAGACGTTGATTTTTAAAACAATGTCCTAAAGAAACAGGCCAATTCTTACAAGTAATAGCGATAGTCACGTAGACAGTAGTTTAAATAAGAAAAGAATACGGTTATTAGGCGAATTAGAACGTATAGACAAATACAATTTTTTACAGAAAATGAAAGAAAGGAAAAAGCGAATCTTAGCGATAAGCAGTGGTGTACCAACTTACATACATTTAAAGACGTATGAGGTATAAAAATATAAAAACTTAAATTAATTAAAATAAATGCAAGCCGATTTAGGAAAATTCTTGATAAACCCATGTATCTGATTGCCGAGTTATGTTATAGGAACTACGAACGTTATCAGAAACCATCCATAAACACCACCATATATTGAATCGAACATCGACCACATCGCCGGCACGTCACACGTGCTGATTCGGCAAAAGTTAACGTTTCATTTAATAATTAATATTTTCATCAGAATGATTTTAGTAGATAAAAACACATATTGTATTTAAATTCAAATAAAAATTGTTTTTAAAAAATAACTTTTTATATCAAGAAACATAAAGGCCGAGTTACTTAGTTTTTTTTTTTTAAATAATGTGTAAACATCCGACTGCCGAGTTGTTGTTAACGTTTTCGGATAACTATTCATTTATTTAATTCCAACAGATAAATAACAAGTTATTATCTTGTTTTAAGGTGAGGCGCCTGGTGCTAATATACACAATGCAGCAGTATACAGAGGAAACAATACACCCTGAGGAAGTCTTAAAATTATTTGGTGAAGAACCCTTAGGAAGTGAGTTAACATGTAAAGAAAAAGTTCAACCCATTATAGCAGATATTTAACATTGGGATCTAATTAATGCTCTGTGCACCTTAAGTAAAACTTCTTCTTCTGCTCCCCATTGATGGTGAGATAACGATTTCAGAATATTACGTCTGTTTAGGCAGTTATTTTTCAATTCGCAGAGGTGTTTCTTCCAGTTAAGTTTGCTGTCAAAAATAAGTCCTAATATTTTGTGATGGTCGACTACTGCTAAAGGGCTATCGTTTATGGAAATATTAGGATTTAATGTGCAGGATGATCGTCTGCTGAACTCTTATACTTTTGATTTTGTAGGGGAGAAGTAGACGCCTGTTTTTGTAGACCACACATTGAGCTGATTTACAGCTTCTTGGATTAGTGTAGAGGTAGATGTTACATTTTTACCAGAACAGTAGACAATAAGGTCATCTGCATATAGAGAAAGTTTGACCGGAGGGCCAATGGAGTTGCATATGTCGTTAATAGCAAGAATGAAAAGAGTCGTGCTTAAAACCGAGCCTGGCGGTACACCATTTTCTTGAGAGAAGGTAGATGTTTTTCTATTAGCAGTTATTTTGAACACACGATTAGCAAGAAATTTTTTAATAAAACTGAATAAGTTTCTGGTAACGTTACACTTTTTAAATTTTTCGAGAATTGTAGGTATCAAAAGGGTGTCAAAGGCACTCTCGATATCAAAGATAACTGCTACGACATCCTGTTTTTTTTTTAAAGCAGTGAATACAACAGATTGTAGTATTGATATATTATCTAAGGTGCTAGTTTGTGGTCTGAAACCAGATTGGGCAGATGTCAGGATTAGATATTTCTCCAGGTACCAAAGAAGTCTTCTGTTTATCATTTTTTCTACTAGTTTGCACATAGTGCAGGTCAAAGAAATAGGCCTGTAGGAGTTTGGATCATCGGGTGGTTTTCCCTGTTTTTTAATTGGAAGTATTACAGCTTCTCGCCAGAGCTTGGGAAAAGATTTCTTGGTCTATATCTTATTATATAATTGTAGAAGTTTGGTGAGTCCTGAGGATGGCAAATTCTTAAGAAAAACAAAGGGAATATTGTCGGATGAATTTTTGCATGTAGAGAGAGCATCAAGAAGTTCGTGTAAATTAAAAGGGAGATTTAAAGATTTGAAGTCTGCATCAGAAGTCGGAATGGCAGATGTAACTGAGTTAATTGAGGTAGAAGGTGTTTCCTTGTTTATTTTTGCATTTTTTGTGAAAGTTTTCAGCAATTTTGTTAACTATTGCTTGTTCATTTCAGATCTATTTCCCTGCATACGTCTGATTTTATTCCATACTTCACTAGGAGGGGTATCAGATGTAATTGAGGAAACATGGTTATTCCACGATTCCTTCTTGCACTGCTTTTGAATACGTTTCGCCGTGGCTTTGAGTTTTTTAAAGTTGATGAGCTTTTCTTGAGTTCTAGCTCTACGGTATCTGTTTAATGTTGTTTTGCATTCCTGAATAGCTGTAGCACATTTGTCATTTTACCAAGGAACTGATTTTTGGTTACTAGAGTTTGCAGATTTTCCTATGAATATTTCAGCTGCAGTAGTCAAACAGTTATTGAAATCAGAAACAGCTTCATCAACATTTTCGGAGAATTGGTATTGAGTTATATGGTTGTCAATGTGTGATCTAAATCTTTCCCAATTGGCACCAGCAATTTTCCATTTAATTATGTTATCCGTGTTCGTAGGGATTTTTCTTGAGATGGAGGAAATAATAATAGGAAAGTGGTTGCTGTCGTAGAGGCACTCTAATGTCTCCCAGAAAAGGGAGGATATAGTTTTAGGATTACAAAGACTTAGATCAATTAATGAGAAGTTCCCAGTGGATATATTAAAATTAGTGGCGGAACAGGTGTTAAGAAGACATACACTAGTGTTGTTTAAAACGTTTTCAACAGTTTTTCCTCTGCCAAAAGTCTTTTCGGAACCCCACATTGTGTTATGGGGATTAAAATCGCCGACAAGTATAAAAGGGGGAGACAACTGATTTATAAGATTGGTTAGTTCAGTTTCAGATAATAAATAAGTAGGAGGAATATAAATATTGCAAATAGTGAATTTTCTGGTAGCCAAACTTCAACAGCTACTGCTTCGATATTAGTGGTTAGAGGTAAGTATTTGGAGTACAGATTATTAGAAATAAATAAAGAAGTTCCCTCACTTGCAATTAAACCGGATGTTTTGATGAAACGATAACCTTTGAATCCTTTGAGTTTACGTTCCTTAAAATTGGTTTCTTGTAGACAAAAATTATCTAGAATAGTGTCAGAAATTAACTGTTAAATTCTTTCCAGACGCGGATAGAATCCCTTGCAATTCCACTGGATTGGTTTGAAGATGAAAAATATAGATTTTTTTGTAGAGATAACTAATGGGTTAATAGGAAGACTTTTGAGAATGTTGTGAACAGTCTGAAACATCTTCGTTATCCTGTTCGACAGAAGTCAGTGAGTATAAGCTGGCGATGCTTCCAGTTTCCATTTCCTCTTCCACCAGTCTTTGCTTGATTTTTTTTGTTAATCTTGAGAATCTGTTTTTTAGTGACCGATCTTGTATTTCAGGATATATTAGGTGCATGTCTTTGAGTAGAGATCTAACATGAGGTAAATTGCAAAGCTTCAGAATAGGGGGTCACTACATCCAAAGGTTTTCTCTATTTAAGCAATAAAGTTATGCACAGGTAGGGAGAGATCGTTGGGGTTTTTCTGCTAATATTCTTGTATTGCGGCCTTGGTGGCATCAGAAAGTTTAGCATCTTTTAAAGATTCTTTTTTAGACTTCTTTAGTGTGGGTTTCGTAACAGATTTTTGAGTTTTTGGAATAGTTTTTGGGAGGGGAGTTTGTGGTGGGAGCATTGGATGGGGGTCTGCGGGGGAGAGAAGATCAATTTTAGGGGTTTCAGGAGGGCTATTTTGGTCACTGGAGCTAGGATGAATTATCTTTTGGCCAGTGCGGAGACCATCATTCAAGTTTTGCAGAGTCTCTGGGAAAGAGCTAAAATCTGTAGGAGAGGAAGTACTTTGTTCCGCAAAAGTATTGGCATGGACGGTAATTTCAGATTTCATAGGAGTATCAGCATGGGCGGTAATTTCAGATTCCACAGAAGTTTCAGCATAAGCGGTAATTTCAGATTCCTCAGGATCCACAGGTGTTGAGTTAGGACAGTTACTTGCAATGTGATTAGCCTGCTTACAAATAAAACATTGCATTTTATCAGTAGAGATGAAGATTCTATCATTATTGCCTTCGTGAGGGATAATAACAGAAGTTTGGATATCAATATTTATTACTCTTGGGAGTAATATACGCCTGACGTCTAAAGCTTAAAATATGATTGTACTCTTCATCCGGGATTCCAGCTCTTAAAAGAGAAACTGGAGACGCTAATTTTAAGTTTAAATCCCTGATTGCACTTTCTATGAGCTCATTTGGAATAGATGGGCAGACATTAGATATTATAATTCGTTTGGATGGAGTGACAAGTCTGCGAATTAACAGTTTATTTTCTTGTATTGAGATAATGGGATAGTTTGTAAATAAACTGTCAACTATATCAGTCTTGGAGAGGTAAATGCAGATTCTGTTATTTGATATTCTTGAAGCATGTGTAATATTTTTTGGGCCAACAATATTGCCTATTGATTTAACATAAAAAACAATTTAAGATTTTCTACAACATCAAGCAGAATTGCCTGTTCCCTCTTAGGGTACGATGGCTTAGGAGATCTTTTTGCTACAGAAACGTAAGATTTATTTTGGAGTTCAGAGATACTGGGTTCTTGAGTATTATTCGTCGCAGACATGGTATTTTTAACAGTAGTGGTATATTCTGAATTTAAATTGCCGCTTTTGTAGACAGAAGCGGCCTGTGTGTTGTTGCTAATTATTTAAATTCGTATGCTTGGCAACACAAAATATACACATAGCGTATTGTTGGTTGCCTCGCCTATCGAGGACCTGGCGGGCGGAGTTGTCGGTATATTTATCGTTCTTATCAGTACAATTAGCAAAAAGTGGTATCGAAAAATAGTTATCGCAAATAATCGCAGTCAATAAATAAAGGATACTGTGTGTAAAGTTCACAACGAAATTAACACGAGCAGTGCATCACTATCTTGTCCACTTATCGTAACAATTTCATCAATAAAGAACTATTGTAATACTTGGTTCCTAAGAGTAGGTCACATGGAGTAGTATGCAGAACTGCAGACGAACGTACCGTATTTTTAAAAGTCAAACAACCGCGCCTCTTACCTACCTGTTACATCCCCAACTGTTAACTGTCATTGCAAAATTGTACGTCGACGTATTGTGTTGTTTTGCCGTTTTCTTCGTGAAAGTGAAAATTGTGAATTGTTTGAATGATGGTTAAGCGCAAAAGAGGAATGTTGGATAAAATGCGGAAAAAGCTAAAGCTATTTCAATAACAATTAGATAATATGCTTTCTGGTGAGTACAATTTTTTTTTTATGTAAAAGTGTAAAAACAAAGTGACCTTGAGTGAAAACTGAAAACACCGGTATCTGGTGTATCGATATACCTTCGCTTTGCGATAGAATATTAAATACCCGGTTAATAAATCAAACTAAAAAATTTCTGCTTTGCAGTAAACAGGTTAAAAAATAAGCAAATATGAAACAAAGAAAATATTTTTTATTTTGCAATATCGCTTTGCGATTGTTGTTAAAAAGATATATTCTTATCTTGGATATCCCTGCTTTGCAGTGAGATAACTAAATCCAGGAAATAGGCTACTTTGTAGTCATAAAATAAAATGAGGGAGAGTGGGGCATATTTTGCCAATACAAAAATATTCAAAATCATTTTTGATTTTTACTATACAGGACCTCCTTTCTTCTTTCTTTTAGACCAGGAGGACTAATGGTATATCTAAGAAGCCGAGGAATCTACTCTTTGGGTACAGTGCGCACAAACCGTGTGCCTTCCTGCAAACTTTCAAGTGACGCTACTCTAAAAATTAAAAAAGTTTCTCGCGGGTATTCCGAAGAGTACATTGGAAATGCCTTTGGAATTGACATTTTCTCGGTTTTGTGGCAGGACACGAAAACTGTTAGACTTTTGTCAACGTACGTTGGTACCGATTTATTTAAGTCAAAAACTCCAACCACCAAGCCAAAGACTGTCACTCGATGGGATAAAAAAGAAAAAAAGCAATATGAAATTGATTGCCCACATATTATAACAGAATATAATCGGCATATGGGTGGTGTTGACTTGATGGACGGACTCATTGGACGATATCATATTCGTATGAAGACCCGTAAATGGTCAAACCGTATATTTTACCATCTTCTGGACATTGCAATGGTAAATGCTTATATACTATACCAACTCGTTCATCCAGAAAAGGAGAAAAAAGTTGAGCTCCCCGTTTTTAGAACCCAAGTCGCAGAATCGCTTTGTCTACATGGACAAGAACTGCAGAAAAGGAGCGTCGGACGGCCATCATCTTCATCGCCAAGAGCATCTCCAACGCCCCCCAAAAGGGCATACTTTCCAACAGAGGATATTCGTTACGATGCAGTGGGACACTGGTGTATATTCAGAGATACAACGGGAAAAAAGCAGTGCAAATTTCCCAAATGCACTTCGGAAACCCAAGCATTTTGTACAAAGTGCAATCTTAACTTGTGCAATTCTACAACAAAAACATGTTTTTTTGATTTTCAAAATAAGTAGTTGTATTGTATAATTATTTGAAATATACATTTAAAATTTTTACATTATTTCTACATTTCCCTGTCCCCATTTTAACTGACTAGGAATGCACAGGTCCGCCTGTAGGCGGACTATCTTTTTTTACCTGTAACAGGTAATATCAACATCAAAATTACTTTTTACTATTATAATTTCACGTTTTATTAACGAATTACATTTCCAAGAATTTTTTTACTGCACAAAAAAATTCATGCATTGCAGGGTTAAATTCTTCTGATATTTTACGCCATCCAATGCATGCTTGAGGCAACTAAAAAAAATAAGTCAAAATTAAAAAATTGAAAAACAAAAAAAAAAAAAAAAAAAAAAAAATAGTTCAAAATAGGACAAAAACTTCATTTTAATAATATTGAAAAATGCACCGTATTAAATTTACAGGATGTTAAAGATATTTTTTTTAATTGATTTTTGACAATACATACTTTCGAAACCACAAATCCAAAAAATTTAATATTTGGCATAAGTTTAAGTCTGACTTAACTTAGGCCATACAAAGAAAATGAAAATTTTTTTGGCCACCACTTGTAGCTAAAAACTGGTTAAATTGATCACAACTTTTTTGAACATTCTGCATATCATACACTTTTTAATGCATTTTTAGAATGCCCAAACAGTTTTCTTTAAAAAAGGTATATTGTTTATGACGAAAAATTTACCGTTCTTTGAGATATTTTTTCATTCATTTCAATCATTTTTAAAAAATACCTGTAACACCCTGTAAATTAAAAACAATGCATTTTTTAATACTACTGTAATTGACAAATGACATCTCAAAGATTATTACATATTTCACAAAATGTTTTAGTGAATTTTAACAATATAAGGTGCATGGGTCGTAAAATACTGAATGTCAAACACGGTATACCGGCTTTACGTCGCTCGTTTTCAGGTTTCTGAGCAAGTAAACAATGTTGATAGTGAAAGTATGTTGGAGGAAAGCGAACCCTCCGAGAACACACATCAGGATATTCAAGAACCTTCTGCTGGACCATCTGGAACCAAACAGCAAACTGAACGGAGCGAGTTAAAGCCTCCAGACGTAGAAAAAGGCAACATACAAACATTTCAGCTGATACCACAAAGCAGCGCATAGATGATGCCTACAAAGTTTTTAAAAAGTTTTCTGAAGTGGACTCAGATTCTGATGAATGTGATTTATATGGCGAAATTTTGGCAGAAAAACTAAGAGCTTTGGATGAACCTACAAGGGAAACTGCTATGCTCCAAATATATCATTTAATGTTTTCTATTAAACACGGTAGGGATCCGAGCCACGCTTATCCCCAACGAAATTATTCTTTTCAGCATCGTTCATCAGCTAATCAAAACCTGCCATGTTTTTATTATCAGCCATTATCCAATTCCCATTCACAAACAAATGCATCATTCACGCCATCGCCGTTAACATCACCATCAGTATCACCTCACTATCAGCCAACATTCAATTCTCAACCAAATTCATCATTCACGCCATCGCCGTTAACATCACCATCAGTATCACCATACGTATCACCATACTATCAGCCAACATTCAATTCTCAACCAAATTCATTATTCACGCCATCGCCGTTGACATATCAGCCCCCATTCAATTCCCATTCTCAACCAAATGCATCATCATTAACGCCATCGCCGTTGACATCACCGGTATCACCACATTATCAGCCACCAGCTACCTCGAGTGATTCAGAGTTATCACACCGATTAACTTCAAGCGAATATGACGAAAACAATTACAATCCGACGTTTGAAAACATAGTTACTATGTAAATTTTAAGAAGTTACTTTGTAAATCTGTTTTTATTAAAATATTTTGCATTTAAAAACTGTGTACCTACCTTCATTTCATCCTTTAATATATCAATAAGTGCTCTGCAGACATCTTGTACACACCGGGAAACAGTTTGAGGGGAAAATTTAAAAAGGTACGAGAGGCTTTTAAAACTGTCTCAAGTGGCTAAAAACCTTAACGTTACTGCAAATCTTTCCTGGACAGGTATGCTTTCCCTCATATTTGTATTTCTTTTAGCTATAATTGGGCCCAGTTTATTTAGCAAAAATTCAAAATCAGTGGCTGACATCCTACAAAAATTTTCGAAATAGCCAGATGGTTCTTGACGTAGATCCAATAACATATTTGAGGCACTGTATCTAAAAATAATAGTTATTTATGTATCTAGGTCTTAAAGAGAACGATCGTGTATAAAAATACAATATGATTCCTCAGCTAATTTTAGGAAGAAAAGTTCATATGAACATATGTCTTAAACCTCTTAACTTTTAAGCTACAGGATGTTAAAGTTTTAATAGGGCACCAGCATACTGCAATGTAAAAAACGATTTTTTTTCTTAAAACTTGAACAACCTGTAGCTCAAAAGTTAAGAGGTTTAGGACATATTATGTTCATATGAACTTTTCTTCCTAAATTGAGCTAAGGAATCATATCCTGCATTTTCAGCCATCAATTAAATTACACCCTGTACATACATTTCAAGTTAAAATAATAAAAAAAATTAAAAAGATACATAGACAATAAATAAGTCAATCGCTATAATATCAATATAAAGTGATTTAGTACAATCTACAGCCAGATTATCTTTATTTTCAATAAAACCGTTTAACTTTTAAAAACCTACCAACCAAATAGGTAATTTGTAACTACAAGTTAATAAGAACTGTTAAAATTTTGCATACGTAAAATTCTAAAAATTCTTCACTTTTTTACATACAGAAGAATGGCAGATACAAAAAAAAAGGACTAGTTTTCACCCCCCTCCCCCAGTATGCTATATCAAATTGTATTGAATTTAAAAGGGCAACCTATAAAAGTACTTACATATTGCGGCTTTTATACAAAGACTCTTCACCAACGCCTTTTTTGCCGTTGTTGTTGGTTCAAAAAATTACCCAACATGATGTAATAAGCGGCTGCAACACAAGCTGCATTTCGTCTTCGTCGATTATTCATGTTCATGTTGCAACACCACTGGCACGACTAAAAAATAAATTTGCCAAACCAACACGAGCATTCTTCACGACCTTTCACGCGTCGTGGGATCGCATCCACTTGCCAAGCCCAGATTAACGAGCCAAGCCTAGGCGAGCCTAGACGAACTCAAGCCACGAGCCAGGATCGCCGATACACACGCCGTGGGATGCCGCCTTTAAGCGTTCAACGTTTATTACATAAGGTCAACAGTATTTTATTTGTAGTTAGATCGCTTTTTCATGTAGATACCTAAATCCCACATGTACTTATCTAATTTTGCGGCTCATCAAGCCAACGGTTAGTTACTGACGATTCTTTAACCCTTTGAGGCCTAACGGGATGATATATATCAAACACTTTTTCAAATGTACAGCTGAGTTATATCTTCCCAAAATTAGGCGTATCTCGTCGCTATCCGTCTTTTTAATGCATTCATGTCACGTCAACATTCTCACCGCCAGAAAACACATACCTAACCTAACTTTTAGTTTTGTTTTATAACACGTACTGGTGCATTCCACTGTTTTTATACGGTTTCCAACTAGTTTTTACATCGATTTTGAAGAAATGTATGCAGGTAAGTGTTGTACAAGTATTATATTTATTACAATGCCGTGTAAAATTTATGCGAATGGGATTATACATCCCAACAGTATTATATCGGTTTACAGGTCTGTACGTCCGAAATTTTTTTAAATTAATTTTTAATTGTGATTTCGGATTCTTATACAGGAAAATTAGAGAAGTACATTTTTGATTTGCCACTTTTGATCAAACGTCTTCTTGAGGGGTAAAAAGGTGGGTTTTTGATATTTTTCTCAAAATTTTTAATTGATATATAGACTGAAGAAATACTTTGAAGTAATTTTTTGTTGTATTTTCAAGTTTGTTCTCAATTAGTTTTCATTGTTTCAGAATGAATAGAAAAAGAAGACTAATACAGAGAAATTGCGGAGATCCTGATTGGACTGATACAGAGAGTAACAGTGTAATTAGCGCTGAAAATGAAACAGAGGAAACGGGATTACTTTCGGAAACAGGCTCAGATTTGGAAATAGAGGAAGGAGACTTAGTTTCCCCTTTAGAAAATTTAGCAAACCCAACAAGGGAAGTTTTATGGTCTCCAGTATTGCCTACGTATAAACCAAGAATGAAGTTGCCTTCTAAAAAAGATTGTAGTATCCTTTTATCTGATATATCTGATAAATCAGCAGACATCTGAATTGTATATATTTCTAAAAATTTTTCCCAGAAATTTATATATTGTAATGTTATAGTTTGTTTTCAATAACACTACAGTTTGAAAAATTACTTTATTATTATTTGCCATGGCTAGCCCTTATTTTACGTCATTAGAGCAGATTGTCTTGCTCCCAGGGGTGGTTCATGTAAGTTAACCAATAAATTAAAATAAATAAATTTAAAAATATTTAATTTTGCCAACTTACTATTAAAAAGGAAAATAGGACCTCCCTGTATTATTAAGTAAACAAATTGACAAATGAGGGGTTTCTGGGAAAAACAACACAAGTCACTTTTTGCTAAAATTGAGTTGGCAGCGCTGTTACGTTCCTCATATTTCAAGGCAGCTCTCTGATGTTTAAATTTTCCGTACAAGGCACATACCTCTGTTTAAAAGGCGTTCAAAAAATCGCCGGTTCCACAAAAACGACAGTTGTCAAAATGTGTTTCCCATAAAAACAACAAATGTCATTGATATTTGTTGTTTTTATGGGAAACGTTATACCACAGAATAACTGGTGTATTCTGTGGTTAGGTTATAAAAAGTTAGGTTAGAATAGTGTTTGTTATGTGTTTTGTTGTCACAAATATGGAGTACGAAAGACAAAATCCAGCAAACAATAATAAAATTCCTGAAAGAAAGAAGCCAAAAACGAACAAAAGAACATTGGATAAAATAGCCAGAGTTAAAGGTGAACCTTTTTCTAATTATAAAGGGATAGCTAAGCCAGCTAGATTTACTGGGCCAGATTGCAGGTTAGTTATGGGTTTAGGTAAATATTTTATAGCTTTGTTTAAACATTCCATATTTTATAGATGTGCTCGATTAAAATGTTTTGAGAAGATTTTAGAGGACACAAGAAATGCCACTTTAACAAAATTTAACATGCTGGAATCTAAAGATGCCCAGGACAGTCATCTTGCTGGTAATATAACATAATATGCTTTAATAGTCCCAGATAGCACGATATATTTGTTAAATATTTTTTTCATATTAAATAAATATTATATCTTTTTTAAATATTTATTGCCTGAAATACATATTTATTAAATATTTGCTTTTTAATATTTAAATTAATTTATTTATTGAATATTTATTATATATTTAAAAAGTAATATTTGGTATAAAATATAAAATAAATATTATTTTTTTGATTTAGAAAGAATATCTGGAAACTTATATTATGCAAATATTTGATATATATTTTTTCATAAGAAAATATGAAAATAAATGTAAATAAAAGTGCTCTATAAAAGTTACACCGGAATCGGTTTACTGGTACAACAAAACGGCGAAACCAGCCAATACCGGTGTCAGAGTGGTCGCAACAAAACGCATCTGCAGTAGAACTATGGTCACGCTTCCAAGCGATCGCTTGAAAGCGACAATTATTGCGATAGGTGGCGCTAGTTTAGTTAGATGCGTTCGCACATACAGGAGCAGGAGCGGAACAAAATTATCGTTTTGTAGTGATGTCGACTTAGAATATCGCTTTTGGAACTGTCTTAACATAATTATTCGATAGTTTTGAAACGATTTATCGCTACATTTCGGTTTCCAGAAGGCAACACCGTGCACTGAAATTGACACTTCAATGTTTCTGAACGTAGCATCGCAAAGAATAACCTAACCTAACCTAACCTAAGATTTTTGTTGTGTAATCAGCGTTGCCAATGGTTTATCAGGAAATTACTGGCAAAATGGGATCAAAAGGCTGGCAATTACTGGCAAAATATTTTCGATTACTGGCAATATAGCATGTTAATTTTTTCTAGTACCTAGGAACAGCCCAGGCCAAAAAGATTAAAGTCCCGTAAATTTAGATAAAGAAAACAATGACGTTGGTGCGTGGCCTTTAGCTGCTTTGAAATGAGGTTGACATTCTGCGGAGATATTTAGAAATGTACTAGAAAATTCGAGCAAAAATGTACTAAATTTTAGATTTACTGTCAGTTGTCAAAACTGTCATGTATGTTGTCAGTTGTCATGTCAAATGTCAACTGCAGGATGGATGTTTGTTTTGTTTTTAATGAAGGTTATTAAAATAGTAAAAAGTTAAATTTAAAACAAAATTTCGGTTCACGGATCAATTATAAAATACTGGCAAATTACTGGCACAAAGTCGTTGCTGGCAAAATTACTGGCAAGCTTCATTTTTACTGGCAAATGCCAGTAATTACTGGCAGATTGGCAACGCTGTGTGTAATTCAAAATTCAATTGTGTATCATTTTTGTTTTCGCCGATTTGTTCTTTGTTCCTGTGTTCGTTCCCATTTTGGATTTGTTTTGTGATTGAATTTGTGAGGTATGTAAATTTAAGTTATTATGGATAAGCAACGCAATAACGCTTTATATTGTAAAAAATACCGATCAAAAAGGAAGGATATTGATAAGTTACGACGTAAAATCAGTATTACCCCACATGAAATTAGGAATGAAGATAGTTTGCTAACTATTGCTGGGCCTAATACAAATAACGAATTTCAAGAACTTAAATCACTGGCTGGTTCAAGTACTAATCAGTTTTGTTATGTTAGAAACCAACCGGGTCAATCTCAATCACTTGAAATAACTACTTCGAAATCAATAGATTCTAATACTAATAATGAATTGAACAAAAGCGAAATATTAAAGAATTTTTTAAAATCTTGGAGTACTACAAGTAATATAAACTTAGTGCAGTTAACTCGTCTGCTGAAAGGACTCAAGAATATTTTTCCAGAACTTACTTTACCTATGGATGGCAGAACACTATTAGGAAGTAACAAAAGAAGTTTTAGTACTGTTTTTGAAAATGACACCCAGTTTGTGTATTTAGGTATCAAACGTACTTTAGATGCTTATTTAAAAATACCTAATTTAAAGAAACAATTTTTAAAAGATTCAGTAATTAAATTAATTTTTAATATAGATGGTCTTCCATTATTTAAAAGCAGCTGTACACAAATGTGGCCTATACTTTGTAGAGTTTACAATTCTAGTTATAAGCTATCTCCTTTTCCAGTTGCTCTGTATTGTGGCACTACTAAACCAAAGAATATAAATAATTACTTGAAAGATTTTATATCAGAAATAAATGAACTGGTTTTAAATGGTATATATATAGACAACACTAATGTACAAATTAACTTGTTTTGCATTACTTGCGATGCACCAGCCCGTTCATATCTAAAATGTATTGTGGGGCATAATGGAACGTATGGTTGTGAAAGGTGTCATCAGAAGGGTACTTATTTTAACCGCAGAATAATATATTTGTCTACTAACTCTAGAGAACGTACACATGAAGATTTTGTAGCTAAGGAATGCCCCAAGCATCACTTATCTAAAACCCCTATGTTAAAATTGGAAGGAATTGACATAATTAAAATTTTTTCTCTTGATTACATGCATTTGTGTTGCATAGGAGTTATGAGAAAAATTTTGTTTTATTGGTTTGTTAAATGTGATTCAAGAAAAACAGTTAGGTTGCCAGTTAATTTAAGAGAAAAAATATCCAATAGATTAAGATATTGTTCATTTTATGTCCCCTCCGAGTTTAGTCGAAAGCCAAAAACCTTTAATGATTTAAATCGATTTAAAGCAACAGAATTCAGACTAATTTTGCTTTATTTGGGCCCAGTTATTTTTCATAACGTACTTCACAAGGATCTGTATGACCATTTTTTGTTATTCCATGTGGCTTTAAGAATATTATTATGTCCACGTTTTGTTGGTAGCTCGTGGATAATAACAGCAAGAGAACTTTTAACTAGCTTTGTAGACAATTTTTCTCGTATTTATGGGAGAGAGTCTTGCATTTATAATGTACATAATTTACTGCATTTGGCAGATGATGCAATAAACTTTAATTGTTCTTTAAATGATATTAGTTGCTTTCCTTTTGAAAGTTTTTTGGGGAAACTGAAAAGAATGTTAAGAAAACCCGATCAACCTTTAGCTCAAGTTTGTAAACGATTGTCGGAAAATGAAAATAATGATGTTACTTATGATGACATAAATCACAATTTTTTTGTAAATGAAACTTTTCAATATATTCAAACATCTTATTTTAAAATAAAATATAGTATCTTTAATAAGAACGATTGTTATGTATTTTTAAAAGATGGAAGTTTGTTAAAAGTGATTGATTACCAAATTGTAAAAGATATTTTAGTTGGTTATATTTCTAGTCCGCTTAAAAATTTCTATACTTATCCTATTAAGTCTAAGGAAGTTGGAGTATTTCAGTTCAAAAATTTTAATAAAGAACACAAATGTTACATTAAACTAACAGATGTATCAAGAAAAGCTATGGTTGTTGATTGTAAAACATATTATGTAGCTTTGGAAATACTTCATCTTAATTTGTAAAAATTAATTTAAAAATTCTTATTTTTTAATGGACCACTTTAGTCTGACGTCAAATGTCACAGAGTCCAAACAAAATATTGTAACCATGGTAACCGTCGGAGACATACTGTTAAATAGAGTATGTTACGATTTTATTTTCCAAATCCAAACTTCGTATGACTTTTGTATTTTTTAAGTTTAAATTGGATTTTAGAGCATTGTAAGTACTTTTTGTAGACAATATTTTGTTTGGAATCTGTAAATCGACTCAGTGACGTCACCACTAACGCGGTCCATTCTAATATAGATGAGCCTCTTCCCGTCTCAGGTGGCCCATGAAAATCTTACATTTTTTTGGCCATCAAAATAATTCGAAGGGGCTTGTGCCTAGCCAGTGGTTTAATGATTCAAACTGCTTTCTCTTTATACGTAACGGTTACTATGCACTATGCTCAGTTCAAAGTTTTAATGTTTTTCTTAAAGCAATATTTAAAAATTAAGATTCTACGCATTTGACCAAGTATGCATATAATTGATCAATTTTTTTAAAGCATCTGGCTATGGTAATGTTTATTGTACTATTTTAATACAAACAAATTTTATTTTTCTTACATGCATGAGGCATATATGCAGGGTATGTTTTTATTTATTGTATCTTTTATTTACTTATTATTTGATTTACTTATTATTTTGTAAAGTTAAAATGGAACGTTCTTGGGACATTGTCGTATGGACAGAAGAAAATGCAATTGATTATGTTCCTACTTCTTGGGCAAATAACACAAAAACGATGTACAAATATCCTTTGGGTAAAAATAGCCTTAAAATTAAAAAACTTCTTGATAGTGGTAAACCTTTGAATGATGAAAATTTTCATTGGCTGGAAGCTGTATGTAAAGCAGAATCAGTTAAAGATTTGCAAATGGCAAAAGATATGTGTGATCGAGGACAAGATACTTCGAACTTTGAACTTACTGAATCAGAAAATGGTCGTAAACATAGAAAACCAAAACGAAATTCAAGAATCCTTAAATGTTTGTCAGATTCAAATTCCTCAGAAGATTCTCTACCTTTACCTAGAGGACAGAACTTAATCAGAAAAACATTTTCATCTCAGCCTGTAATCTGTAATAGTAAGTTAAACATTTATGTACCTGTGTTCTTCTTATTATTTTTTTTATTTTAGAACAAACATTCAATGCAAATAATATACCTACCAATAATTCAAGTCAACAGATGAGTTCTTCAGGTAAGTCAACGAAATTATTTTCTTTCCTTTTGCAAAACATTTGAAGCCATATTTAGACTTGTATTTTAGATATTAATAATTGTTTCTTTTTAAGTTTCAAGAAATTCCTGCACGGCAGTTTCAAGGAATTGTCAGCCTATTTCAAGAACTTCTACTCCTATTTCTATAAATTTTGAGCCTGATGATGTTTCAAGTCACACTCAAACATTGACAATCAACGATGTAAATTTGATGCCTACTTCATCTAAGGTGCAGCAGATTTCTACAGGTACATAACTGAAATAGACTAGCTAAGAATAATTATATAACATTTAGGAACCAATATCATCAAATTTATAAACTGCTAATTTCATTCTTTTCCAGATTTAACCCCAATACTGGAGGAACTGACAGAAATAAAATACCATATGAGGGAAACCAAAGCTGTTCTATCTAGAATGGAACATTTCTTAAATAGTTCATCGAATAATCCTACAAATGTTACCATACCACAAACTTTAAATGCCATTTTGGATTTACTTCCTTGCGAGACCAAGGAACAGTTGGAGAAAGTAGATTCATTAATCCATGAATCTCGTTATATGAAAGAATTGGTAAGTTTATTTATTATGGTTCTACAACTAAAAAGCAACTTTGACATAAAATTATGTTGAAAAAATATCCTTCACACCAATGGGAGACCACTGCAATATGTAGTGTACTTTTATAATATATATTTTTTTCTCATGGCAATATTAATTTTCAGGTAAACTATCTTTATTTAGCCGGAGGAGACAATCCTCATAAAAGTGCTTACTTGGCAATGCAGAAGCTTTTTGCTAGGCAACTGGCTGTATACTACAGTGGTCAAGGAAAAAAAAAGAAAATTCCTTTTTGCAATATGAAATTGTATGAAGCTGTTTTTGGTTAGTATAGTTTTTTTTATTAAATAAATATATTTTTTACATAATCAGAATAATATAACGTAATTTTTTGTTGTAGACTTTTTATTTTTCAATTTTATTTAATTTTTATGGAAGATGATTCACATGTCTACATTTTTCCGTTTAAATTTCAGGTGCAATTAGAAGGAGGCATCCCAACGTTACTGATGAAGGAATAAAAAAATCAGTCTCTCTATTCTTGGCCACTGCCAAGTCGAGATTAACATCAAAGAAAAATAATGGAGTAGTAGTAGAGTAAGTGTTTATATATATTTAGATTTTATAAACTTAAAAAAAATACATGGTTTATATAAATATTGTGATTTTTATTTGTTGTTTTATTTTTAGTGAAATGGATTTGCCAGATGAAACAGATCAGTTTTAGAGGTTGATTTTTAATATATATATATATATATATATATATATATATATATATATATATATATATATATATATATATATATATATATATATATATATATATATATATATATATATGTTTCTTTTAAAAATAAACAATTTATTGTTTTTTTATGAATTTCTATAAACCTCCCATTCTGAAAATGTCTTTAAAACATTGGTGAAAAACGGTCGGACTCGTCAATTTCTATTTTATTTGTATTTTTTTATAATATCAGAAATGTGTTTACCCGTGCACCCCCTTCACTTGACAGATAGCTCATCGAATTTTTAAATATATAGCAAAGTCTGATAGGACCGACCTTGTTATTTAAAAAAAATTGAGGGGTATGGCTGTCAACTGGTGGAGTTTGAAAGGGGAGGCAAATTTTTATGTTATAAAACGACTCCATCAAAATAAACATTGATGGGTCCAAGCGTTTCTAACCTTTATTCCCAAATAAAGGGAATTTTTAAAATACATAACAAAATATTTCATATATATTTTTTTACAAATATTTATTCAATATTTTTTACTAATATTTTATAAATATAATATAGAATATATTTAGATAATATTTAAGAATCTGTCGCTACAAATGTTTAAAAAACATTTTTTAAAAATATTTAAACAATATTTAATGCTATCTGGGGTAGGTACCTCATAATACATTTTTATAGGATTAATATCATTTTGCCCTCCACGGCAAAGACGTAGTCGTAAAAGACATCAAGACGTGCCACAAGATAATGAAAATCATGAAGTGGAATTTGCTGCGGATGAACCTTTACTACAAAAACATCAACATCTAGCTTCATTCAAGTACAAAATAAGAGATGGGACCAGAGAAGTGCTAGTGTGTGCCAAAGCATTTTGTAGTATATATGGAATCTCAAAAGAAAGATTGCGAAGAATAAGATTATGTCTTGTAAAAACAGGAAAGTCACCCCAAGACCGACGAGGTCATCATGCAAATAGACCTCGAAAAACTGACGGAAGAGTGTACACTACTATTCGTGATCATATAAAATCTTTTAAGTGTTGACAGTCTCATTATTCTCGCAGAGATAATCCAAATATATACTATTTACCAGAAACTTTAAGTTGCAAAAAAATGTATAAAATATTTTGTGAAGAAAATGAAGATCTACGCGTCTCGTATAAAGTTTATTGGCAGGTTTTTACAAGATAGTTTAAGTTAAAGTTTGGTGTTCCAAAAAGCGATACCTGTGGCATATGCGATAACTTAATGCAACAAATGAACCTCGAAACAGACATGACAAAAAAAGCAGATTTGAAGACTGAAAAAAAACTTCACTTATGTAAAGCTGAAAAGTTTTATCAGCTAAAGAAGCATTACCGGAAGTTAGCTAGACAACATCCTGATTATTATTCTTGCATATCTTTCGATTTCATGCAGAACTTACCAGTTCCCCATATTCGCACAAATGAAGTTTTTTACGCCATTCAGATGTGGTACTATGTTTTTGGTATACATAATGAGGGAAATGATGATGCAACAATGTACTGTTATGACGAAACTGTTGCAAAAAAAGGGCAAAATGATGTAGCTTCTCTACTTTTTCAGTTTTTAAAAAGCCATGAACTTACCAAAAAAAAATTAATATTGCTCAGCGATGGGTGCGCTGGACAAAATAAAAATTACGTTCTGATGCGTTTTTTATATATATTAGTTCACTGTTTGCACATGTTCGAAAGTATTATTCACATATTTCCAGTCAGAGGACATTCTTTTTTGTCAAACGATAGAGATTTTTCTCTCATTGAGAAACACAAGAAAACTGCAACCGTTGAAGTACCTTCAGAATGGGACAAGATTATAAAGGAGGCACGCGAAAAGCCATCCCCATATAAACTTGTTAACGTACAGTCACACATGATATTTGATATATCAAGCAATACTTCTCCATACTTTCTAAAAAACCCAAAACCACCGGTAAAAATTAAAACGGCAAGAATGCTTAAGTATGACAGAAATGAACCAGGATATGTGCTAGCAAAGCAAAGTTATACTGGAGAGTGGGAACGTAGTTATATACGAAATAACAAATCATTGTCAAAAGAACTGCGTTTGACACCAAACTACAAGGAAGCAGTTCCACTAAAACAATCTAAAATCAGACATCTTTCAAATTTATCAAAATATATTAAAAAGCCTGATAATATAAATTTTTATAATAGGTTGTTAAATACGGATAAACATGGTAGTGACGACAATGATGTGGAAATAGACAATGACGACAACAGCAGCGGAAATAGTGACGTAGAATAAGAATATTATCATACAGTTAGAATACTTTTCTTTTTATCATCTTAAAACAAGTTAAAGTTTTTTTTCTATTTAACTAATTTTTTAATGGCACTGACAACAAGTCAACATGCCAGACGTTAAAGGTTTCGTTTCAATAAATATTTATATATAAAAATATCATTTTTTTACAAGCCTCTTTAAAAAATTCCTAAAAAACAACATTTGTCACGACTTTCTTCACGTTTTTTTCGTTTACAAATCCGGTTATTTTTTTGAAATATATCTTAAAATATATTAGATGCCTTCTTACATGCCCTAAAAATAAAAAAAATAGGTGTCTTAGTCGAATAACCAAGAAAAACAGTTTTTGTTAATTTGCCACAATTCACTTTTTTTTACAAATGTTGTTTTTCCCAGAAACCCCTCAAATGTTTTTTAAATCAAATCTTTCAAAAATATTTTTATTTGACAAGCACAATGTAACATTGGAAACAGTTTCAAAATCGCTTACCTATATTTACTAATTTATAATAACTATTATCCTTTCATACCTCACATTCACACCTTATAAGAAAATAACTAAACATTAAATACAGAAAAATACCGTACTAGTATTTACAGCTTTACACTTCTAAAATTTAAATTAATCTTTACAAATTTTGAAATTACTACTTTGTTCTATCACAGTTCAAGCAGTTGTTCCGTTTTCACAAATATTAAAAAAAAAGTACTCACAGTCGGACAACTTCAGTTCATGAGTATGGGAATATTTGCTTACTGTAAATCGTTGCTCTGCTTACTGCTAACATCAAGTACTGGACCACATTTCTATTTTGCTGATATAACACAAATGTGTACAATGAGACCTAAGCTCATGGTTAGTACTACCATATACAAAATTCTATGAAATTTGCTTACTTAACAGCAGATTTTAGGGAAGAAATTAAATCAGACTGAAAAGGTTTCTCAAATTTTTATCTGACACAAATCAAAATTTTTTAATTAATTTTCAGTCAACTTTGACATCTTTTTTGATACTACCCTTGTTATATAGGGTGTTATTTTACTATCTACTCATCTTTTTGGCAAATTAACAAATTTTTCATATATTATCTGGTTTTGGCATTTGCTCTCCCACTTAGGGGGACAGTGACTTATCCCAGATATTATGAATATCAAAGGAATAAGCTTTTTCAAGTTATTGGGCCCGTCATGGTAAATCCGGACCTCCTAGAAATTTTCAGACGGTACGGGCTGTTGCAAGAAGTACTGCTTTCTGCATCGGTTTGAAGAGGTGTTCGCTTAATCCAAGTTCCTTGATGATCGCTGGCAGATTCTTTGGGATAACTCCTGTTGATGACACAATGATGGGCAACGTTCTAACTCTCTCCATTCTCCACTGTTGTCGAATTCTTTTTTGTAGATCTCGGTATTTGGCGATCTTTTCCGTGTGCTTGATCTGCAAATTGTTATTATTATTATTATTATTATTATTATTATTATTATTATTATTATTATTATTATTATTATTATTATTATTATTATTATTATTATTATTATTATTATTATTATTATTATTATTATTATTATTATTATTATTATAAAAATAAAGCTTTTCATACAGGGTGTTTTATAACAATATATGTTCATAACGCAATGCACTAATGAAAGAATAGGTATGTTGGAGAAAAACAAAGGAAAGGTATAAAGCAACCGACTATTTTGAAATAATGGTGTTATCTGGGGTTACAACGTTTCGCCTCGTGTTATTATTGTTTGAAGCACCCGTTAATGCAATAAAGACAGCAATATCAAGAGATCGGTTCAAATTCTTGATATCCAAATTATATTTTAATTATCCGAATAAACCTAACAATTCTAATAAAATTTATTATATCTAGCCGATATTAGAATGCTTCAAATAGACGTTTCCAAAGTCTACATCGGATTCCACTTATCAATCAATCGATGAGGATATGGCTAAATTCAAGGGAAGGTCAAGCCTAAAACAGTACATGCCTCTCAAACCGATAAAATGTGGTATACAATTATGGGTCAGGATCGATTCCCTCAAAGGATATTTCTACGATGTGAATGTTTATAGTGGAAAGGAGACAGCATTAGTAGATGGGACACTAGGAGAAAGGGTTATAGGAAAACTAACATCGTCTATAAGAGACAGAGACGTAGTTATATGTTGCGATCGTTTTTCACGTCAATATTATTATTATCACAAACATCACAATTTCCAATAATAGGAACATGCATTACTTCACGAAAAAATGTACCAAAGATAGACACGAAATTAAAGCGGCATGAAGCAGAATTTCTCTGTACGCCAGATGGAGCCACTTTTCATCAGATGGCATGATACCAAGACAGTTGGTACAGTTAGCAATTGTCATAGCAACGAAATTACTAAAGTAGAAAGAAAACAAAAAAATGGTGAAATACGGAAAGTTCCCTGTCCAGAAATTTTTTCGTTTCATAATAAGTATATGGGAGGAATTGATCTCACTGATCATTTAGCAGGTCTCGTTGAATTTGATAGGAGATCTACTAAATGGTGGAAGAAAACTTTTTATAAGCTACTAATGATGGCTGCAGTGAATGCGTATGTCATATTCAATAAAGTAAAGCGTAAGAATAAACGAACATCATTTTTGGAATGAGCAGAAGAGCTTATTGAAAAAGGTAAAGCGCATGCAAATGTCAAA